GTGTGTGTGTGTGTGTGTGTGTGTGTGAACAAGACGTTATGAAAAGTAAAAGAAGGTGAAACACTTGGAACAGAATGTTGTAATTACCACTTAAAGAGGAGGTGGAAGGTCTGTGGATTAATTAATGCGGACTTCTCTCTTGTTAAAAATCAGTTCAGTCGGTGTTAATTACCTCTAAAAGAACAATGTGATGTGGAAAGACTCATTATGCTGTTAAATGCTGCTTTACTAGATTTTAAGATGACAGAGATGGAATGGTGAGCTTCCTAAAGATACAGTTTATTGAGTTGTGGTGTCATGCTGTAACTTATTTTTCTTTTACCCTTGGCCAAGGTGTCTACCACCAGAAACGTATGAATAAAGAGTTTTGATTGTGCTACAGCAAAGGAGCTCCACTTAAACTTCTTCTTGGACTTTGACACAGTTTGGGAAACAAATGCAATGTGAAAATCTCTAACTGAAGCAGTTATGGTACCATTAAACCTCAAAATCAATATGGAGGGAATCTGTTAAAGCTGACATCTGCAGAACTTATCAAGTATTGATGCACCCTTCTGGCATTTTGATTGAAAACGTGAAAGGCTGAGCTCCCTGCAAATTTACATGGAACTCAAAATGAATTATCCTCTGTTGTCTAATTTTTAATATTGCTGGTCTTTTTTAATTAAATCTCAGTTTTCTAACTGAATACCAAGGGATCTTTTGGTAGATGAGTTTCTTGCCTAATGATTTATTTCACGCTGTCTGTCATTCATATTCATTCACATCTTCATACTTCTTCTTTATTGTCCAAAGGGAGTGAAAATATAATATTTGTTAATGTTCATGTTTCCAGGGAGCCAACAATATCCAGGTACGGAGGGCTGTAAAGGACACATTCTCCAATCCCCAGTCACCCCAACCATCCCCCTACAGTTCCCCAAAGTCTCAGCACAAGACACAGCAGAGCTTCCTGCCCCCAGGCTGGGAGATGAGGATAGCCCCCAACGGACGGCCTTTCTTCATCGACCACAACAGCAGAGCAACCACCTGGGTGAGCTAACTCACTGTTATAGCGAGTTGGGTGATGGGTGGTTTTTAATAAATATGAATGAAGAGGGCAGAACAGTTTTTCAGCCTATCCTGTATGAATATATATATATATATATATATATATATGTGTGTAAAGTTTGCAAAAATTAACGAGTATTGAGTTGGAATTTTAAGGTCAATCCTCTTGAAGTCAACAAACAACAATTTAAATAGAAGATAAATTATAAAACCTTCTTTCATCATGTTTTCTATTTTGCTTTTAATTTGTACTAATTTAAATGAAATAAATATATTATATTGTTCTATTTTTTGTTACTGAATGTGATGGTGAGCATTATTTGACAGTTTGAGCAATCATATAATCTGGGGCAGTGGTTGGTGTTGAGCTCTCTGGATGTTGTAGTGACACCTGGTGGTATAAAAATCAAGTTCACACGCTTTTCAGACAAAGTAAACCTCAAGGAGCTGTTTACCCTGAAACTACTATTAAAAATCTTTATATTTACCATTCAATGAAAAATACTATCTTATTCTTCATGTCATCTTTTTCTTTTGACGACCAGGAGGATCCCAGATTGAAATACCCAGTACATATGAGGAATAAGAATTCAATGGAGCCTGGTGAACTTGGTCCTCTTCCTGTAAGTACAAACACAATTAGACCAGCCTATTTACCCATACACTGATGACAACCATGCAGATCCCTAACTGTGTAGCTTTGTTCTCATAATGTTTAAATACCATGAATATGTAACATGATTCCTTAGATAATATGTGCCATCTGTGACTTTTCAAGTTGCAGTTGTGTTCTTTGCTTACAGTTCAGTTAGCGTCACTCAATTGTATATTTTTTATGTCAAGTAAAAGGAGACACATGATCAGATGTCATTGTTAGATGTCCTTTTTAGACCTGTTAGAAAAAATGGGGGTGGGCAGTGTTAGAACAAGGATGAGAAAGCAGAGTCTGGGGGCTGTGATGATCCATAATTAGGTGGTGAAGTCTGTCACCTGCACTATTATCAATGTGACAAAGACGAGCTCCCAACAGATGGGCTCAAACGTTACCACAGCTAGATGTTGAATAATGAACACTTCATGGGTTTCTACATCTCACAGGCTTGTGTGGTGTGTGCATGTGTGTGTTCTCTCTCTCTTCTCTTTCCCTCCTTCTCTTTCTCTTTCCACTCCGTTCTGGTGGATCTAATGTATGCTACTACTTCTTCTACACCTGGCCATGTCTGTTTGGCAGAACCTACCAGAGGAGGTTGGTTGGTGCCTCCCTCCCTCTGCCTGCCTTCTTACCTGTCTGGTCTGGTCCGGTCTGGTCAAATGCCTGCAGACAGCCTTGCACTTTTATTTTATTTTGTTTTTCTCCTCTCTCTTTCTCTCTTTTCTCTTTTTCTCTCATGACCGGCATGGATGGACTGTACCTCTCCCTTCCTTTTTCATCAATATATTACCTCATCTCTCTGTGCTCCCTCCCTGCATCACCACCACCCTCCCTTCTGTTTGGAGCACCCCATCGTTCTCCATCCTTGTGTACTCTTATCCGTGTATGAGACAAAGATAGATTTGTTGAAAAAAATTGGATAAAAAAGCTAATTAACAATGAGGGATTAAAGGAGGAAAACATGGCTGCAGAGGGAGGGTTGGATGGTTTAAGAGAAAACAAAACAAGCTGTACATTAGAAGAAGAAACTCGCTGTTTCCTGCATGTGTTATCCTCTGGTGTCCAATTAGGAAGTTGCTGATTATTTAGAACCACACATATTAGTGTATACATATTGTATGTACACTGTGTTTGACAGATTTGTCAGACTCGCCCTTTTTTCCCCCACCCTTGACTTTCAATCCGCAGAAATTCTTTTATTGCCTGACTGCTGTTGCCGCGTGTGTGTGCGTGTGTGTGGCCTGTGGCTCTGTACTGAGTAGTCACCTTGTCAGTGGTGGTGTACTGATTTTGACTGGTAGTGGTGGTCTTTAAACTAAATGTTGTGGTCGTATCCCTGCCTTGCTGCTGCCTCAGACCTGACTCAAATAGGAGAGAAAATCCCTTCAGTTCCTTTGGTGGGTGGTTGATTGAGCTTGTCTCGCCCACGCTGCCAAGCTGTCATTGTTCAGTCAAGTTCAATCAAACGTGAATTTTACAAAACAAAAGGAAAAAAACGTCGATGGATTTAAATTACTATTTGAGCATGGCCTGTTTAATAATGCTGTGTCATGGTGACTTATTTTCCTCACTCTTCCTCATGTTTCTTGTTTTCAGCCTGGGTGGGAAGAGAGAGTTCACTCAGACGGACGCACTTTCTACATTGACCACAGTAAGAAAACTTCAATTATTACTACTTTTGACCGGAAGTTCTGGGCAACTTTTCCTGCCAGACGTTTGTACCAATTTTAAAACTTATTTTTACAGTTTAGTCTATAAAACACCAGTATATAGTGCACTAATGTATAAATAATCATTTCCCAGAGCACGTGCTGAAGAGTTGTTTGTTCGACTCAAAGTACAAAACCTGTATGTATTTACTTTATAACTAGAATGCTACGCCAGAGTCCAATTAAAACAAAGAGTTTATTAACAAAACAAGGAATAAACAAATGTTAAATTAATCTGTTGAAGTGTGAAGGCCTGGCCAAAGAGAACAGAAGATCTGGACAAAGCAAGCAATGGACTGTTTGATCCAGATACTCCCCCCCATCTACCTAAGTAACAATATCTAAATAACACAAAACCTGAAATGAGAAATTTCCAGACTAAAAAGGAAACAAACAATAAATCCACAGCGACACAGACTGTTGGCACGACAGAGAGTGAGCGCCTCTCCAGCTCCATGTAATCACACTCATCACTGAGAGGAGAAAGTGTGAGGAAAGGAGGAGGAGAAAAGAGACAGAAGGGGGGGAGCTCATAACAATGCCTCAAATGTTTATTTGTGTTTTGTTCAACCAGATACGAAGAACACGCAGTGGGAGGACCCTCGACTGCAGAGTCCAGCTATCACAGGACCTGTGAGTAGTTTCCTCCTACTCGTTCAGAGTCTCTGCCACAACAGTGTCGCTACATGGAATCAACAACCTCTCCTCTTAACACTGTAGCTCTATGTCACACGCCTGTCATCAGCCTCAGTGTGTCTCAGAGAAAAATCACTTTGTCGCTGCGGTTGTCACTTGACATGCCATCACCTTCTTGCTTATCTGTGTACCACTACAGATACTGTCCTCCCTCACTCCCAACCTCCCTCCCCTGGTTACTCCCTATGTAGTCCAGTCCAGTGTTCCTCTTAAAGCATTTACATCACAAGCTGATCCCTTATGAGTATATTGATCTTTGACTTTTACCACTCCTTGACTTTTTGTGATTTTTGTTGTCCATGCAGGCTGTTCCCTACTCCAGAGAGTTCAAGCAGAAATACGACTACTTCCGGAAGAAACTGAAGAAACCTGTAAGAAGTGATTTTTTTAAAATACACATCTTCACGTCCTGTGTTTATCGATTGGCTGTGGTTTAGAAGGTAGAGCTGGTTGTTCATTAGGTCGATAAGACTGAAAAGTACTACATAAATGCTGTAATTTACAATTTGTGAATGACCATTTAACTATAATAATAATAATATAATTATATTCAGACTCCTGAGTGAGTGAAGTCAATCAGCAACTTAAGCAGCAGTTACATTTTATTACAATCTAATGGTTGGCTTTGTATAAAGGTCATGTACTTCCACTTGCTTAAACACAATGTAATATCTTTCTATTTCATTTGTATTCACTACTTGTATTTGCGTTAAAGTGAGTTATGTGTGTCATTCGTTCTAGGCTGACATCCCCAACCGATTCGAGATGAAACTGCACAGGAACAACATCTTCGAAGAGTCGTACCGTCGCATCATGTCCCTGAAGAGGCCGGATGTTCTGAAGGCACGGCTGTGGATTGAGTTCGAGTCAGAGAAAGGGTTGGACTACGGCGGCGTGGCCAGAGAGTGGTTCTTCCTCTTATCTAAGGAGATGTTCAATCCTTACTACGGCCTGTTTGAATACTCTGCCACGTAAGTCTCCGCTTAGTTTAGGTTTACGGAGCTGCTTCTGACTGAGGAAATGTTCAAGCCAATTTACAGGAAATGAAACAGGACATAGTGTTGAGCAAAGCAGATGTTCTAAAGGAACCCTGCTATATTTTTGCGTTAATGGAAAAATTCTTCTCTTCCTATTCCACTAAGGTGGAGTAAGATGTAGGGAGTGTTGTATTGGTCCCCTATGAGACTTAAAGTTTCCTTCCACTTTGATTACCTTTCCTGTCATTCATAAAGCCATCCTGGAACAAATGTTTCCCACATACAGTGGTAGTTGTTGTGCGGTCTGCTGCTTTTGTTGGCTCTGACTGTACTTATCCTGCTATTAAAAAAAGGCTTAAAATAAATCACCAGAATTTGCAGGAGGAAAGGCAAACTCAATGAGAGGTTCAGGTATCCAGTGACATGGTACGAATCACTGTGGATATCAAGTACAAGATATCAGTACTCAAGTACTGAAATGTCATGAAAGCAACTTTTATCAACACTAGATTAAATCAGTGAGGTAAATAATCCTTGTTTCTTTCAAATTAAGTGCTAAATGTTGTTCATTTATCAATTTTCATATCTTATAGCTGTATTTAACACATTTCATTTCAGTGGAAATCTTATATTTATTCACCTTTTTAATGTTTCTAAAACCAAATGGACAAATAGCAATACACATGTTAGTAGCCTACTGCTGACTGCTCTAAGCGTCAATAACTAATCTGAAACTTGTTTTCCTCCTCTGTGTCTGTCCAGGGACAACTACACTCTTCAAATTAACCCCAACTCCGGCTTGTGCAACGAGGATCATCTCTCCTACTTCAAGTTTATCGGACGTGTGGCAGGAATGGCTGTGTTTCATGGAAAACTACTTGATGGTAAACTGCTTGTCTCTGGTTTCTCTTGTGTTATTATGTTGGTGTATGTTCAGCTTCCTCATGTGTGAGGACTCGAACACACCTTCTTTTATTGGTGTTTTTAAGTCATTACTTCTACACAGACCATTACAGCGCTGTGTTGCCTTCTTGTTTCCCAGGTTTTTTCATCCGACCATTTTACAAGATGATGCTGGGAAAACAGATCTCTCTCAAAGACATGGAGTCTGTGGTAAGGTCTCATTGTTACTAGAGTATATATTCAATGAACATACCTTTCATTTAGTAGTTCCACATTCACGACACCCTACAACCTTGCAATTAAAAAAACTATTAAAAAGTGTTTCTTACTTATATGGATGGTTATCTGCCTTGCAGGACAGTGAATACTACAACTCTCTGAAGTGGATTCTGGAGAATGATCCCACTGAGCTGGACCTGAGGTTTTGTATTGATGAAGACAACTTTGGACAGGTGAGCCAACCTAAAATCAAACTCTTAGTCAAAGTTAAAATTCCCAAATTCATTTTTTATTTAGTAAATTTATAAAGTTGATATCTCGAGTCACCTGTCCTATATTTTCATTGTACTTTTGTCTTTTTCAGACCTACCAGGTCGACCTGAAGCCCAGCGGCTCAGACATGGTCGTCACCAATGACAACAAAAAGGAATACATAGAGTAAGACAAGATTTTTTATGAATAGACGTCAACATTAATAATGATAATAATTAAACATGATATACATAATGTGATGTTAATGATAATCACATCACAATCATTTTCTCCACTAGCCTGGTCATCCAGTGGAGGTTTGTCAACCGGGTCCAGAAGCAGATGAATGCTTTCCTTGAGGTATTTACATGCATTAACACTTTTACCATGAGGGGGCAGTGTGAGCACATACTTTCTGTATTCAGCCTATGGATCTAAACCCAGCAAGGAAAATCCTCTAAACTCAGACAACTTGAATGTTGTATATATTTAGCTTGAATTGTACGTGAATAGAATTGTTGTGATTTGTTTTTTGTTTAATTTCCAGGGATTCACTGAGCTCATCCTAATAGATCTGATCAAGATCTTTGATGAAAACGAACTGGAGGTATGGATACCTGGCTAGCAGAGTTTAAATAAGTCAATTATTCAATTAATCGATCAACTTTTGATTGATTTTCTGTGATTGTAAACAGAGGGTCTTTTGGTTTTCAACTGTCGATCAAACAAACCTCACATTTTAAAGATGTAACCTTAGACTCAAAAAAAGGGAAACTGAGATAAATATAAATATTAAAAATTTTCTGATGGTTTATTTACTATTCCCTTTTATAATAGAATAATTTGCACAACCATTAAACTATAGTTAAAACTAATTGACTAAACAATCAGTTGCAGTTGTAAGTAGCATTTTACTGGAATATATACTTTTCACGATAGTTGTGTCTAAGAAGAGAAATGACTGGATGTAAAGGTTTTTCCCCTTCCTCCTCTCCTGTCTGTGTAGCTGCTCATGTGTGGTCTGGGTGATGTCGACGTCAATGACTGGAGACAACACACTGTTTACAAGAACGGATACTGTCCCAACCATCCTGTTATACAGTGGTTCTGGAAGGTATGTGGGTTAGACACACACACACACACAGACACACACACACACACACTGGTGAATACATGCTATAAAAACAAACATGCACTGTCTAAATCATTAGCCACATGTTGCTAAGTATCAGTCATGGACGCTGGTTCTTTCACAATAAAAGCTGGTTCCAGTCATTTCCCCGACCTGCGGCAGGTTTGCTGGCCTCGCTTTTGAAGATCAAAGTCTGTTTGGATGAACAGACATGTTTGCTCTGATGAAAGAGTCTGAAGTAGTAGCCTCAACACACACACACACACACACACACACACACACACACACATAATTTGTGTATGTAAATACCCTTACACACGCACAGAGACAACAGTGTCATGTCATCTGATTAAGTTAACCGGAAAAGTGCACACACACACACATACACACACACGCACACACAAAGGTTTCATTGCAAAACCCTTCTTGCTTTATGTGATTTCATAATTCTTTCTGTGATGTATGACTTTTAACTTTTTTCAGTGGAGATTTATAGTGGATTAAAAAAAATGTGTGTAGAAACTCTGACTCTGATGTTTATATTTGCTTGTTAATCAGGTCGTTCTGTTGATGGATGCTGAGAAGAGAATCCGGCTCCTCCAGTTTGTGACGGGAACATCTCGAGTACCAATGAACGGCTTTGCCGAGCTTTATGGTACGTGAAGTTCAAGTTTCCTGTATTTCATGCTGGTACCAAGTAGTTTAACAGTACCAGCTACTAACACAGACACAAAAATGATGTCGGCATTGCTGCAGTTCCTAGTACTGAATCACTATCATTGTACACATACAGATAATGGCAAGCAGATGAATAATGACTTGTATAATGACTAATAACTAACTTTAACTAACTTTAAGAACTGTTACACCTTTTATAAAACACTATTATATGTTTGGCTCAAAACATTTATCATTATAAGATGTAAAAAACTGTGCAGAAGGTTTAGACACTGACTGTGAAGTAAAAGTAAAGATTAAACCATTAAGTAGTTTTTATTTATCAATTATTTTCCTACAAAATACTTTAAACAGAAAAAAATATAAAGTCAAATTTGGTTTGACCTTTTTTTTAAAATTAGCACAGAGGCCACAGCATGTGTTGCAGGACTCACTGAAGATACTAATGTTCTTTCTGACCATGGTCGTATGTTGCTGCAGAATGAATGTGGGAACGATCAGACCATACCTTAAATTATGGTACTGCATGTATCAAGAATCTCTGAATATCTACACGTCTAAAATGCAGAATATCTCTGCACATTAATTTTCATACTTCTGAATTAGGCATGAAGTTTAAAATACTTAAATGACAAAAAAATAGGAACCAAGTACATCTTTCTGTTTCAGTCATTTCTTCAGAGGTTACGTTTGGCTCTATTAAAAGTGTTTCTGCATCATGTCAACATTGTTGTTATAATTATAATTTCTCACTGCCAGGTTCTAATGGTCCTCAGCTGTTCACCATTGAGCAGTGGGGAACACCAGATAAGTTGCCAAGAGCTCACACATGGTATGTCACTACTGAACGCACACACACACACACACACACACACACAAAGAGAGAGAGAGAAAAACAACTGTTAGACAAGTTAACAGCCATCCCAGTGGCTTTCCATCATTGGTTTCTTAATGTGTTGGCATTCTAGCCTTTGCTTATCATCGCTAGAAATAGAAAACAGCTGAGGCTGACTATTATGTATGAAATATTATTATTATTGGAGTTATTTTGACATAACTTAAGAGCTGTACAGGAAAGCTGGACTTATAAAATAAACACTTATTTAAACTTTATGGACGAGTTTTAATATAAATTTCGACAAGGACGTCTGCTATTGTATAAATAACGTGCATGTGGAGAGCCATTTGTAGAGTAGTTTTATTTAGAAATAGAATAACACGTGTTAACTTAAGTCAAATTCATCAATGAACTGTTTTCCATCTCAGTTTCAACCGCTTGGATCTGCCAACCTACGAGTCCTTTGAGGACCTGAGAGAGAAACTCCTCATGGCCGTGGAAAACGCGCAGGGCTTCGAGGGAGTCGACTAAACCTGACTGAACTCAACCAACCATCATTTCTAAGAAATTAAAACAAGACAAAAAGCCACAGGGATGCCAAACCAGCCGCTGTAGCAGTTCTGTGCAAGCATGTTGAACTGTAACGCCCGACTGTGAGCCACTACCACAGCACAGCGGTTTGAGACTGTACAGCAACTTGTCGAGCCACTATGCCTACGTCTTTATATCTTTTCAGTGTGGGTTCATTCTGTAAAGGTGCTGGAGGGGAAGAGCGGGAGCGTTGAGCACTGACGAATGCTGAAACCTGTTTTCATCCGCAAGGCATGAGCGACGAATGACGAGATCCAGCCTCTGATCTGCCGTGTCCCTCCCCTCTACCCTCATTCTGTGAAAATCTACAGTGCTGGAAAACACTAATGCATTTCAATAGCTCCTTTACGTACACTATAGCACAGTATTCGAGCAGCCTTCAGCGGGAGGCTCTTAGCATGGCCTTAATCTGGCTCCTACATGCACTATTTCTCTAAGAAACTGCAATGGCACTATGATCACTACTCTGTCAAATCCTTAGACCAACACCAGACTAACCTTAGGAATGCTAGCCAATCACATTACAGGAAATCGACCACACCCCCTCTCCGTAGAGCCGCATTTATGTTGTTGGATCAGAAATTGCCGCCGCAGCCTTTTTGTAGAATCACTTTCTTTTCTTTTCTTTTCTTTTCTTCTTTTAAGGCACCGGTAAGGATTTCTGAGTTGGGGGATGACATAATCCTCAAAGATAATTTTAATAGTTCTCGTCATCATCTTTTTTTAAAATCATTGTTATAATTCTTACAGGAAAATACACTCACCGTATTTGTACCGATGAACAATGTTGTTTACGATTTTGAGAATTCTATATGACATGGTGTGTAACGTGTAAATCTGGCTCGTCTGGGGAATGATTAAATCCATATCACTTGTAACGGTGATTGCAAATGTGTTGAATACAATGGTTTTTAATTGTAGTGCTATGAAAGCAGCATGAAATTGTATCTTGTGTTTGCTCGGACTACATCGTAATTTGAACGTGTAATCGGTCGGGAGGGGAGAACTAAAACAAGGGGGCGTAGTTTCTCTGAGACGTCATGATTATATTTATATTCTCATGCCTGTTGCTGTTCATAATGCTGTAAATTGTTCTTGGAAGAAAAAAACATTTTAAGTTCTTTTCATGATATATAAATATATGTATTACATTTAACAGAAGTATTACTGATCAACAACTCTAAAATGAAGCTGTGTGTTTGAGCGCGGGTGTCTGAGAGAAAAGCTGTGATTGCCACTGAATATAAAGCAGCACGTTTCTTACAAAGAAAAAAACAAGTTTCTTTTTATGTTTTTGTTCCTCTCTCCTTTTTCTAACACCATTGAACCTAAAGGGCACTTTATAGATCACTCTGAGGTCATGTCGCCTGTCGTGTGTCTCGTCATTAACTTGAATGTGATTCTTTTTGTTTTCCATTCAGAGCACGTTCCTGGTGCAATATAAATAGTCTGTAAATCTGGGCTGCTGCTAAGGTAGGAAAATTTGTCGGGAGTGAAGAGACTTCACGTCCTTTCGTATTCTCTATTTTATCTCTTCTTCTTTTCCCTCTACCTTTCCCTCCTTTGTGTTTCCTCCCTCCTGCCTGTGATCCCACCTCTCAAACTGACTCTGTAAAGATTACTCCTATTTTTTTTAAGTGGGTTTTCCTTTTTTTTCTTTTTTATAAATGACACAAAAAATATCACTTTTGTTGAAGATTCCACCACTTTCTGCAAGTCTTTGTGGTTCATTTAACTTCAGTCAAATAAAATGAAAATTCTCTGAAAGTTGCTGGAGACTGAACTTTTTGTTTCATTCATGAGAATAGACAATAGAAAGACAATTATAAGACACACGAAAACATGCCAACTATAAAGAAGACGATAGGTAAGCAGTTAGTTTATAAGCACATTACTTGTTTTCAAAATTCAAATTTTATGTATTTTATATTGAATTTTTCTCATTAATATTTAGAAGTCATTAAAATGTATAAATATTAATTAAAATCCACTATTGCCCCATAGTTTTTTTCCATAATTGAATTATTTTTTACATTTACTTATCTGATATTTGAGTACAACTTTGTGTTTAGGTGGACTTACACTTGACTTATTTTAGGAAAAAAACATCAGTATATACAAACATTTTAATGTAGCTCCATGATAACATACAGGACTTCTTAGAGAAAGTCTTTTCAGCATCATTATCTTTATTAAAATAATATAAATTATTATTATGTCATACGTTTTTATTATCATTATTATTAACAATAACTTTCATTGTAGAGCAATTTTCAACACACAGTACAAAATGCTGCACAAGACTAATGGTCAAAAGAAAGTAGCCTATTAATAATAATTATAATGATGATATAGAGATAAGAAACAAAATAGCCTGGCACCCCATTATTAAACACTATAATATAAAGGGGCTGTTCTGTGCGGTGGATTCTCTACGTGGCACTAAGGTTACGTTTGCCTGTTTCACTTGTTGTCACAAAGACTTCACCTAATCTGCCTCTTATTACCACAACTGTCCTCTGTGCCTCACATGGTGCTGTCATGATTTCTCACTTAGAAGTTACTGAAATGGCAGAATAACCCTTTAACTGTTTGAATAGCTATATATCAGAACATATTTTTACTTGTCACAACATATTTCTTTCCCTGGACGTCACAAATATTTTCAAAAGGCTGTTTCCTCACATAGACGCTGCTGCTGCTGCTGCTGAGGGTGAACGTTTTCTTTCATTCAAATTAAAGATGGAATTCTGTCATCCAGCCAATCACAGTGCAATGTCACAAGTACACCTGGTGTTCAGCTTTTAGAGAAGAAGTCTTAAAACAGAAAATGAACCAGGTTTACCCTCCTCTCACTTTCTTGTTTCATGTCTCTGTGGGTCTGTGTGTGGTATTTGCACATATTGTGGTGAAAGGACCTCAGTTCATTCACACAGGCAATCTAGGAGTTATCAGCTCCAAGGACGAGCAAATAAAAGCCACCCTGCCAGCCCGGGGACATTTTATCAAGACCTCCTATCCTCCATCTGGCCACAAACAAGCCAACAGCCAACTCTTCTTTAGATCCACCTTCTAAAACATTCCACCTGCCTGAAAAAAAAAAAAAAAGATATGTCACAAAGTGCAACTGTTGTTTCATCTGCATGATGTGGACTAAAATCTTAGCGTCAGTATCAATAGAGCGAAGTTCAAAACCATCGCTTTGGTTTGCAGAAAAAGACGAGGGTGCTCTAGTAAAGGTGAGGCCTCACACGGTCTCTCACAGGCGTCTGTGATACGTCAGCGCTCTGACCTTCACCAGACCCTGACGGGACGCTGGACTTAAAGGTTTAGGTGAAAGGGAACTATTGGCAGAAATTTAATGAAGAATAATCTTCATGATGTTTTCACTAGTTTGTCTCATCTCAATTGTATGAATTGTAGTTTTCTTTACCCCAGAAAAGGCCCTTTATATTTAAATACCACAGGTTCTTTTGGAAGGAGAGGGTGAGGTGAGGGGTGTTCAGCTGCAACATGCATTTTCAACACTAGATATCACAAAATTCTACACACTGTACCTTTAAAGAAAGATAACTGCAAGTTACATATTCTAAAATGAAATAATGTGACATTCTCCCAATGCTACATCTTATCTGGACAAAACTGAAATATATTTGATTTAAAAAAATAAATAAACTCAACAATATTCCCAGAGAATTTAAAAATAATATTAACTTAACTTTCCTAGCAAAGCCCTGAATGCAAAAAGCCACAAAATGATTGTTAAAGCCTGAATCCAATGACCAGGACCCCAAGTTTCACTGCTTATTACTCCAGTAGTTCTTATTTCAACATTTTCAACCCTAGGGAGCAGCAAATAACTTCACTTCAAGTAGAACGACACTCAGTGGAGCGAATACCTCCACCAAGGCCCAACAGTCAGGATGAACCTCAGTATGAAATTCACTGGATCCACATTTTCATTGGGATCTGCACTTAATTGCACACACTCATAGATACCAGTCCCCTACATGCCTCATCGAGATCCATGACAAATCAATGATACCCCCAATCTCCATTAATGTTAAAGAGAGTGAAAAACAAATCCTGGATCTACCCCCTGATCTGGATCAACACCAACAGTTACTGGAAGTAACTATAAATGTTTCGAAACCAGTTTTCCCCACAGCCATTAGCACCCTGAGCTCTTTGCAACAATCATGAACATGCAATTGAAATACTGGCTATGGATATATATGCAGTATTTTCACTGTGTAGTGTTACACTGTTTACAATTCACTCTACTGTTCATGTACAGCGGTGTTTAATGTAAAGGATCTTGTGTGATGGGTCCTATTGAGTTTCAGAAGGTGAAAACTGAGCAGTGCGACACCAAACGACCTCCAGTTAAAGGGATGCTATTTCACAATCTGCCCTTTAGTTGACAGCTTTTATTATGAAACTTATCCTCGGGAACATGGACCCACGTATAGAACCTCTATAGAGTTTCTACACATCCACAAATGAGCAATGTGTTTTAAATATAGTGAAGATTAAGAACAGGGATTGAATTTTGTTTTCCTTTCACATTTTTTGCTTTCAGATAAATACAGTGAGGGTTATGAATTTATGGAATCAATGTTCATGATGTGGCTTTAAATTTTCCATCCACTCCTCTGCCAGGATCCATCACCTTCAGCTCACAGTGATACGTTTACATTCAGCAATAGTCAGGCTATTGACCTTATTCTGAAGAAAACATTATTTCAGTTTTGACATTTACATAAAATAGATTTTATAGATCATAGTCTGAGAATGACGTTGAAAGCCGTAAATCTTGATGTTGCAAAATGCTGTGACAACTCCCATAGGACGGAAAATCCCACATAGCAAAATAGTTTGGGCCCGGATTTGGGTCACACTGTCAACCGGCCCACATATAATGAGGAACGATGGCACACGGGCCGTCCGTTCTTGTTTCAGTGAAACTTTGGTATTAAGGCCCTGATGTTGCCTCACCAATTTTTCAGTGCCCCCCTCCCTTCTCCTCCTCCTTCACCTCCTCACCCTCTCTATCTCTACCTCTGGTCAGGGTCGATCAATACTTCCCCCGTAGCTTATCACTAATGTGGAACTGGCTGTTTGTCCAAACCCCGCTCTGTCTACATAAAGACATGGGACGAGGACGCCACCAAACACAAATGCATCACGGATCACCTCGTGAACCTGCAGCTGCGGGCGGACTACTGGACTTTTACACCGTTAGGCACACAAAGGCCCGGGACACAGAGACGTGACTTGTATTGGTGCGAGAGGGAGAGAGCAGAGAAAAGAAAAGAGCTGGGAGAAGCAGGAGCAGGAGGCCAACTGATAGGTTCGAATGACTGAGCATGGAAAGAGGATCCACTTTAGAAACTTAAGGTAAGTTAGTTGTTGCCCTGCAACTAGTCTGGATCCACCAGAAGTGTTTGTCACTCACACTTTTATTTGAAAAGTTTAGGGTTATGTCTTCTGACAAATTTAAAAGCTAGAAAGTCTCTTTTTCAATTTTCATCTCCGAAACTTAATGAGATGAGTTAAAAGCATGAATCAACATAGATAGCATTAAAGTTAATATGACAAATGGTGTTTATTAACCATTTTACAATCATTTAAGATTGTTAGTCATGTTGGGAAAAGGTTCACACAGATGTCTTCTTCATGCTTTCTCATGCATGTGCACACAGCTGCAGTCATCCCCACCAAAAACACACGTGACTGGACTTTGGACACTTTGGATAAGCCTTGATTATTTACTTTCCATATTTGTTTTTGAGTATTCTTCAAGTTTAAACGTCCA